AGTTTCCATTTAGTAGAGTACCAAGGGTGGCATTCATGTTTTTGACCAGAGGGCCATTGCCAATGTTGCCACTTTGGGAGAGATTCTTCAAGGGCCAGAAGAAGGTGAAGTATTCAATTTATGTGCATGCTCCTCCGGGATTTGAGCTCAATGTGAGTAGTACCTCTGTCTTTTACAGATGCCAGATCCCGAGTCAGGTATAATCTTTTTTACGAATGACAATAACTTATGTTGATTGCTGATGATATCTCATGCTTCTTATGTGATTTTAGTGGAAAAACTCTTGTTCTTCTGTTGAGAATGATATTCGAGCTGATTGCGTTTTGGTTGTTAAAATAGTTTCATGTGGAAGCTGTGAAGTGTATAAATAACAGCCATCAGTTGTATTGGGAAATAATATTTACACTAGCTTCTTCGTTTTTTCCCGAATATTTTCTTTGTGAGTTTAGGATGGAAGACAGACAACGGTCAATGTTACTTGAAGTCATTTACTTTGTGTTGAGAAATTATTCTTCTTGGTTTTTGTTCTTAGTTTATCCATTAAGTCATAAATTCAGAATGTAAGAAGAGTAGTAATCGAGTACATGGTTAAGTTGCCTAAGATATGACTTAATCATGCTATTTTGGCATTCTAGAAAGGGCAATGGAACAAGTTTAATTACCTAGAACCATTGCATTATGCATCAAGAGGAGAATAGCTTTGCTGCTGCTAGTGAATTAGTTTCCTGGAAGTTATGTAGACGAGTTCACAATAACACTCAAAAAAGGTGATTTCACTCCGAAGAAGATCAATATGTCATATCTCATATATTATGAAATATTGGAATTGTAGACACGTTTCATGGTCTAGCATTACATGCCATTTATTTCTTTTATGTTACAATGAGCTGTATGAGTGCATGACGGAACACTATTTTCTAAATAAACGACAGTGACCTGAAGGACATTGACACCATGAAGGGGAAAATAAATTTGTATATTAGGTAGTTTTTCCTTGGGAAATAGATGGAGGAGATAGGAAATATGCATTGAGCCTATCCCATGTGTGGGGATTTTGTTTGGCGGCCTCATTAGGTGAAAGATGGAACTAAGAATCATGACTGGAATCAGCATCTCTAGATAGCCTGATTTCACGATTGAAATGTTTTCTGCATAAAGGATCCAAAGTCTTACCATGTGTCTTAAGTTGAGCGATTGATCGAGTTTTTCTTTTTTTGTGCTTGAATTTTATTTGAGTGATATACAGCCTGCCTAACATTAAAAGTAGTCAAAACCTGGCTCATGTTTGGAGTATAGGATGATGGCAATCGAGGAACAACATTATCCAAACAGAAGCTTGGCAATATCTGGTCCATGTGTCTCTCTTCGTCACAACTAGCAAGGTGTTGAAGCAGACGACGAAGCAAAATGTGGCCTGAGAGAATATCGGAAAGTAAAAACTCCTGATCAATCATTTGATGAGGATTATCCTGAAATGACCTGTGGAAACTCAAGAGAGTTTATTCTCGTTAACCTATCCACTTCTGGTTGAGTATTAGGAAGTTAAGTTTTGAGATTTTGAATATGCTCTAGTTCTTTTACTAGAATGACTGTTTTGCTAAACAAATTGGACCGTGTGTAACATTTAAGATATTCAACACATGGATAATTTAGGGTCCTTACAATTTTTCAAAAAATAAAAATAAAAAAATAATGGAGAACTGAGGAACATAGTAAACCTTTTGTGGAGGCTCTACCTTAAGATGCATCGGAAGACTTATTTCAACTTCTGTTCCATGATTTATGATTATACCAAATTTCCTTTGCTCGCCAGTCTTGTGATCTTTTTCACTTTGCAGTTGTGTGGTATAGTGTATACCATGTTAGTCTTAGATGCAGGTGCGTAACTTGCACTTTCCATCACATTTGACCAATTCAATTAATTCAATCTAGCAATGGGGTGGTTAACCCTGGGTGAGAAGATGTTATTATAGGTACGGATAATATATCAATTTAAGTTCCACTTTTTATACGAAGTTCAATGTAGTTCCAAATCCCTTCTAATTTTAAGATGTGAGCAACTACATTGTAGTGAAACCTTGACACGAACAAGTATCTAAACTCGTTTAAAATGTGTTAATTCACCAAATTTTGATATAAAGTTTTTACCTTTTTATTGATTGAATCTTTCGTACTTTTGCACATATCTTAAAAGAAACATTTAAAGTAAAGCTGTAATACATTTGTTATCTGATGCTGTAGCTTTGTCGTCCTTGATGTATACTGTATAATCAGTGCTGAAATCAATATAGTTTTTCATGCAATTGTTGTTTTGGAAACAATTTTCACTTTTGTTTTTCCACATTGCAGCGTGTTGAATGGGGATCGGTGTCACTGGTTGACGCAGAGAAACGACTTTTAGCCAATGCTCTTCTTGACTTCTCGAACGAGCGATTTGTTCTTCTGTCCGAGAGCTGTATTCCTATTTACAATTTCCCCACCATCTACAAGTATCTAATTGGATCCACCCATAGTTTTGTCGAGTCTTACGATGATCATTCTCGTTACGGGCGTGGTCGTTACAATCGGAACATGCGACCCTATATTAGACTTGCTGATTGGAGGAAAGGGTCTCAATGGTTCGAGCTTAATCGTGCTCTGGCTGTCAAAATAGTAGCGGACACCAAATACTACGTGCTCTTCAAGAAGTACTGTAGGCCTTCATGCTATCCTGACGAACATTTTATTCCGACCTATCTACGCATGTTCTTTGGTTCGCTTAATGCTAACCGCACAGTGACTTACGTTGATTGGTCACTAGGAGGTCCACACCCGGCTACCTTCATTGATGGTGATATAACAGAGAGTTTCATGCAGTCAATTAGAAAAAATGGCACATTGTGTTCTTACAACTCTGGAAACACACCTATTTGCTACCTCTTCGCTAGAAAGTTTGACCCCAGTGCTT